TTCACAGGGTGTCTGCCATCTCTGTCTAGAAGGGAGGCCTTCACGGGGTGTCTGCCATCTCTGTCTAGAAGGGAGGCCTTCACAGGGTGTCTGCCATCTCTGTCTAGAAGGGAGGCCTTCACAGGGTGTCTGCCATCTCTGTCTAGAAGGGAGGGCTGAGTATGAGAGAGTGGATGTATGAATGTTTGTGTTGATCCTTTGTTATCCTTGAAAGTGTCATTATCCATATTTCATCAATCTACAGTTATATTCATACTTTCATCATTACACCCTGATCCGTTATTCTTCAGTAGTTACATGAATGAGACTTTTTGATATCATTTTGTTCTCTTTGTTCCCTGATGAGCTGCACCTGTAACAGAGGGGCGGAGTATATTTGGTTGCTATGGGGTGGGGCTTCAGGTCTCCTTGGAAGGGAAGAGTATATTTGGTTACTATGGGGTGGGGCTTCAGGTCCCCTTGGAAGGGAAGAGTATATTTGCTTGCTATGGGGTGAGGCTTCTGGTCTCGTTGGAAGGGAAGAGTATATTTGGTTGCTATGGGGTGGGGCTTCAGGTCCCCTTGGAAGGGAAGAGTATATTTGGTTGCTATGGGGTGGGGCTTCTGGACTCCTTGGAAGGGAAGAGTATATTTGGTTGCTATGGGGTGGGGCTTCAGGGCTCCTTGGAAGGGAAGAGTATATTTGGTTGCTATGGGGTGGGGCTTCTGGTCTCCTTGGAAGGGAAGAGTATATTTGCTTGCTATGGGGTGAGGCTTCTGGTCTCGTTGGAAGGGAAGAGTATATTTGGTTGCTATGGGGTGGGGCTTCTGGTCTCGTTGGAAGGGAAGAGTATATTTGGTTGCTATGGGGTGGGGCTTCAGGTCCCCTTGGAAGGGAAGAGTATATTTGGTTGCTATGGGGTGGGGCTTCAGGCCTCCTTGGAAGGGAAGAGTATATTTGGTTGCTATGGGGTGGGGCTTCAGGTCTCCTTGGAAGGGAAGAGTATATTTGGTTGCTATGGGGTGGGGCTTCAGGCCTCCTTGGAAGGGAAGAGTATATTTGGTTGCTATGGGGTGGGGCTTCAGGGTCCCTTGGAAGGGAAGAGTATATTTGGTTGCTATGGGGTGGGGCTTCATGGTCCCTTGGAAGGGAAGAGTATATTTGGTTGCTATGGGGTGGGGCTTCTGATCTCCTTGGAAGGGAAGGGTATATTTGGTTGCTATGGGGTGGGGCTTCTGATCTCCTTGGAAGGGAAGAGTATATTTGGTTGCTACGGGGTGGGGCTTCAGAGTATATTTGGTTGCTTCAGAGTATATTTGGTTGCTATGGGGTGGGGCTTCTGGTCTCCTTGGAAGGGAAGAGTATATTTGGTTGCTATGGGGTGAGGCTTCTGGTCTCGTTGGAAGGGAAGAGTATATTTGGTTGCTATGGGGTGGGGCTTCAGGTCCCCTTGGAAGGGAAGAGTATATTTGGTTGCTATGGGGTGGGGCTTCAGGCCTCCTTGGAAGGGAAGAGTATATTTGGTTGCTATGGGGTGGGGCTTCAGGCCTCCTTGGAAGGGAAGAGTATATTTGGTTGCTATGGGGTGGGGCTTCAGGCCTCCTTGGAAGGGAAGAGTATATTTGGTTACTATGGGGTGGGGCTTCAGGGTCCCTTGGAAGGGAAGAGTATATTTGGTTGCTATGGGGTGGGGCTTCAGGGTCCCTTGGAAGGGAAGAGTATATTTGGTTGCTATGGGGTGGGGTTTCTGATCTCCTTGGAAGGGAAGAGTATATTTGGTTGCTATGGGGTGGGGCTTCTGATCTCCTTGGAAGGGAAGAGTATATTTGGTTGCTATGGGGTGGGGCTTCAGAGTATATTTGGTTGCTTCAGAGTATATTTGGTTGCTATGGGGTGGGGCTTCAGGGCTCCTTGGAAGGAAATAGTATATTTGGTTGCTATGGGGTGGGGCTTCAGGTCCCCTTGGAAGGGAAGAGTATATTTGGGTGCTATGGGGTGGGGCTTCAGATCTCCTTGGAAGGGAAGAGTATATTTGGTTGCCCACGGGGTGGGGCTTCAGGGCTCCTTGGAAGGGAAGAGTATATTTGGTTGCTATGGGGTGGGGCTTCAGGTCTCCTTGGAAGGGAAGAGTATATTTGGTTGCTATGGGGTGGGGCTTCAGGTCCCCTTGGAAGGGAAGAGTATATTTGGTTGCTATGGGGTGGGGCTTCAGGTCCCCTTGGAAGGGAAGAGTATATTTGGTTGCTATGGGGTGGGGCTTCAGGGCTCCTTGGAAGGGAAGAGTATATTTGGTTGCTATGGGGTGGGGCTTCAGGTCCCCTTGGAAGGGAAGAGTATATTTGGTTGCTATGGGGTGAGGCTTCTGGTCTCGTTGGAAGGGAAGAGTATATTTGGTTGCTATGGGGTGGGGCTTCAGGTCCCCTTGGAAGGGAAGAGTATATTTGGTTGCTATGGGGTGGGGCTTCAGGCCTCCTTGGAAGGGAAGAGTATATTTGGTTGCTATGGGGTGGGGCTTCAGGTCTCCTTGGAAGGGAAGAGTATATTTGGTTGCTATGGGGTGGGGCTTCAGGCCTCCTTGGAAGGGAAGAGTATATTTGGTTACTATGGGGTGGGGCTTCAGGGTCCCTTGGAAGGGAAGAGTATATTTGGTTGCTATGGGGTGGGGCTTCAGGGTCCCTTGGAAGGGAAGAGTATATTTGGTTGCTATGGGGTGGGGTTTCTGAACTCCTTGGAAGGGAAGAGTATATTTGGTTGCTATGGGGTGGGGCTTCTGATCTCCTTGGAAGGGAAGAGTATATTTGGTTGCTAAGGGGTGGGGCTTCAGAGTATATTTGGTTGCTTCAGAGTATATTTGGTTGCTATGGGGTGGGGCTTCAGGGCTCCTTGGAAGGAAAGAGTATATTTGGTTGCTATGGGGTGGGGCTTCAGGTCTCCTTGGAAGGTAAGAGTATATTTGGTTGCTATGGGGTGGGGCTTCAGGGTCCCTTGGAAGGGAAGAGTATATTTGGGTGCTATGGGGTGGGGCTTCAGGTCTCCTTGGAAGGGAAGAGTATATTTGGTTGCTATGGGGTGGGGCTTCAGGTCTCCTTGGAAGGGAAGAGTATATTTGGTTGCTATGGGGTGGGGCTTCAGGTCCCCTTGGAAGGGAAGAGTATATTTGGTTGCTATGGGGTGGGGCTTCAGGTCCCCTTGGAAGGGAAGAGTATATTTGGTTGCTATGGGGTGGGGCTTCAGGGCTCCTTGGAAGGGAAGAGTATATTTGGTTGCTATGGGGTGGGGCTTCAGGTCCCCTTGGAAGGGAAGAGTATATTTGGTTTCTATGGGGTGGGGCTTCAGGGCTCCTTGGAAGGGAAGAGTATATTTGGGTGCTATGGGGTGGGGCTTCAGGTTTCCTTGGTTTCTGGGAGGAGCCCTTCTTATTGCCACCTGTTCTATGATTGGTCTGCTATTTCCAGCCTGAAGACCATGTAATAATACCTATATTAAATCTCCCTTTACTTTAGCCATGATACAATATGGTTCTGAGTTTCATGTCCAGGCAACGGCCTGCCTGTGGCACTAATTCTATCAACTGACTTCTTTTTTCATGAAAACTAGAGACCTCTATCTATAAAGTTGCAATATGTAACTTTTTTTGGGCGAATCGACCAAATTCACATAGAAATGTGTGTTATAGATCTGTCATTCTCATTGAAAGCAAGTCTAAGAAGCAGTAGATCGGTTCTATGTCTGCTATATCTATGCTTCCCGTTCTTAAGTTTCGTTTTTTGGTCTTTTACCTTCGGTTTCGTACACCAGTTTCAAACAGCTGAAAATACAATATTTTTGGTTAAGGAAAATATATTATACAGCGGTTTAGATAGTGCAATGATTCTCTACACTGTACTTACTTGTTTTGTCACAAACTGAAATTAGGTGAACTATTACAATTTTGGCAACCAGGAAATGGTGGAGCGATTTCTGCATAGTGCATCTTTAACTAATCCAATTCTTTAAAACAGATATGTAATATAATCAGGATGATGCCTCATATCTGGATAAAAGTCAGGCCTTATACATGTGTCCTCAAGCCTAAGGAAAGTCCTTTCATACAAGCCTCATTCTAACAGCACACACAAACCCAGAACAAAAAGCATGTTGACTTGGTGCATGCCATGGTCTCTCGGGGGCATAATACCGTTCCTGAACTGGCTGCTTTGTTCACAGGCCATGTTAACCACAATAGGGATTGTTACCTTTACACTGATTCTCACTTTACACAAGAGTCTGTCCTGTTAGCCATGACACCGTCAGACAGGATGTGTGAGTTTGAGTTTGAGTTTGAGTTTGAGTTTATTTTTACAGGGACAGTGCACATTAATCAACGTTTCAGTAAAAGTGCCGGTTTTAGCCAGCCGGCTAATTTTCAACCGCAGTCCCTGGGCAGGTTATTAAAAACAATTACAATATAGACAATAACAACATAGAACAAGACATAGCATACAGACATAGCAACAAGTTAGAGAGTTAGAGAGATAGTTAGAGTTAGGTAGAATAGGAGCAGGTACAATCTCTCAAACTCGTTTTTAAAATATTTTGTCTGTGAATAAAGTTGTATCCAACTATAGAACCTAACAATAGTGTATAACAACGTAGGTCATTATTTAGGTTACAGTTTAAAAAATGAATGAAAAATATATGTGAAATGTAATTAGTTATATATAAAAAAATGTAATCCTAATCTATCTGAATTTCATTGAATATTTTCAGCGTCAGGTGAGTAGGCACACTCAGAATGGCTTTATAAAGTGGTAAAGTGTGCCAATGGAGCAGGAGGCCTGGCGGTGTTTACCTGGCGGTGTTAACCTGACGGTGTTAACCTGACGGTGTTTAGGACCCAGCAGAGAGACAAAACAATGTGAACGTCACATGATCGTGATTTTTGGAGCGGGGGACGACGCATGTTGCATCTCTGGTTCAAGTAGCCTAAACCAGGCAAATGACAAGTTTAGATCGTATTTAAATCCACACCCTGGAAACAATGGATACGAAGACTGTTTTCTCCCTAGTCTTCTTTGCCTGTTTAGCTGTGAATAGAACTGTGGTAAGTTTGATTCTGTATCTATTATTTCATATAAAATACAACTTCCTCTCTGTCTACCAGGTGACTATACCAGCTGACTCTAGATCAGACCTATCGCCACTCATATTTGCAACTTGTTGATTTATTTTCCTGTGGGGTATAATATAGTAAAAATAATACATTATATTGGCATGATATTGTTATTATCAAGTATAAAGTTACATGGAGAAAATTGGACCTCTGAAAGGAAAATGGATAGCCCTCCCTTCAGCAAAATATATTTTACCTAAACCCTCTGAACGCTTGAAAAAAAAAAAAAAAAAGTGTCCCTCCCCTATACCCAAAATAATAATTTAGACAAAGTGGATAACAGAGAAACTTCCTACCGTTTACCCTCACTTCCTGGACAGACCAGAGCCTTAAATATGCAGTTTTAGAAACTGTTCTTCGTCCTGTCAGCATTACATGACAACGCAGGAGTTTTGATAACGCACAGGTCTGTGGGCCAGAAGGTTGAGGGTTCACAGACCACCGTGGATAAGAGTAGGGTGGGAAAGATCTCATTTATAGTAAAGGCATTGCATGAATCTATCATCTTATTTGCAGGTCCGAGGAAAAAATTGCTTTTTATAAAAATGTCATGCAATTCTACGTCATTTTATATACAGTGAGGGAAAAAAGTATTTGATCCCCTGCTGATTTTGTACGTTTGCCCACTGACAAAGAAATGATCAGTCTATAACTTTAATGGTAGGTTTATTTGAACAAAAAAATCCAGAAAAACGCATGTCAAAAATGTTATAAATTGATTTGCATTTTAATGAGGGAAATAAGTATTTGACCCCTCTGCAAAACATGACTTAGTACTTGGTGGCAAAACCCTTGTTGGCAATCTGTCACGATCATTTATAGACGGGACGGACCAAGGCGCAGTGTGATATGCCAACATGTTTATTTAACGAATAAACACACAACAAACGAAACGTGAAGTCCAAGGTAGCACACAAACAACATACCTTACACAGAACAAGATCCCACAACCCACTAGTGCCAATAGGCTGCCTAAGTATGGTCCCCAATCAGAGACAACGAGCTACAGCTGCCTCTGATTGGGAACCACACAGGCCAACATAGATCTACACGATCTAGATCTAAACATAGAAAATGCCTACATAGAACAACACACCCTGACTCAACAAATACGAGTCCCCAGAGTCAGGGCGTGACAGTACCCCCCCCCCCCAAAGGTGTGGACTCCGACCGCACACCATAAACATAACAGGGTAGGGGCCGGGTGGGCATTCCGCCTCGGAGACGGATCCGGCTCAGGGCGTGACGACCTCTCCCTCTTCGCCTCCCTGTTGCGCCCCTGGTCTGGTCTAGACCTCGGCGCGCTGCTCCCCCTCTCCTTCCTCCCACTATACTCCAAGCCCTGTCTGGACCCTGGTGTGGGAGACCCCGAACCTGGTGTGGGGCTGACGTCTGGGTCTGGACTGGAGCCGCTGACTGGAGCTGGACCCGACGACGGTGGAGCGAATTGCTCTGGCTCCGGAGTGGAGCCGCTGACCGGAGCTGGATCAGGCACCGGTGGAGCGGACTGCTCTGGCTCCGGAGTGGATCCGCTGAACGGAGCTGGACTGGACCCCGGTGGAGCGGACTGCTCTGGCTCCGGAGTGGAGCAGCTGACCGGTGGGACAGGCACGGGCCGTGCCGGACTGGACACACGCACCACTGGCTTGGTGCGAGGGACAGGAACAGGCCGGACCGGGCTGGCGACGTGCACCACTGGCTTGGTGCGAGGGACAGGAACAGGCCGGACCGGGCTGGCGACGTGCACCACTGGCTTGGTGCGAGGGACAGGAACAGGCCGGACCGTGCTGGCGACGCGCACCACTGGCTTGGTGCGAAGGGCAGGAACATGCCGGGCCGGACTGGCGACGCGCACTACTGGCTTGGTGCGAGAAGCAGGAATAGGCCGGGCCGGGCTGGCAACGCGCACCACTGGCTTGGTGCGAGGGGCAGGAACAGGCCGGACCGGGCTGGCAACGCGCACCACTGGCTTGATGCGAGGAGCAGGAACGGGCCGGACCGTACTGGGAACACACACCACTGGCTTAGTGCGGGGAGCAGGAAAGGGTCGGGCCGTACTGGGAACACGCACCACTGGCTTAGTGCGGGGAGCAGGAACGGGCCGGACCGGACTGGCGACACGCACCACTTGCTTGGTGCGAGGAGCGGGACTGGGTTCCTTTATAAACCCCCGCTCCTTCTGCTGCCTAACCAGCTCCTCTCGCCGTGCCTCTACACCTTCCTTCTCCCTTTTTGCCTCCTGTAGTGCCTCCCTCTGACCGTATAACTCCTGCTCCCTCTGAACCAATAGCCCCCGTAACCTGGTGGCCTCCTCTCCTAACCTGCAAATCCGCCCTTTAACGGCCTCCTGCTGCCTCGTCGTCCACACCGTGTGCCCCCCCCCCAAACATTTTCTTGGGGTTGCCTCTCGGGTCTCCGTCGTCGGCACTGTTGGCGCCGTTTCTCCTCTCCTACCTGGGCATCCTCCTTCCTCGCCTTCCGTTAATGGACGGCCTCCTCCTCCGTAATTCTCCCCCAACCGAGGAGGACATCTACTAATGTAATCTCCTGTTGAATTCCCGGCGTTTGCTCCTGAACACGCTGCTTGGTCCTCGTTTGGTGGGATCTTCTGTCACGATCGTTTATAGACGGGACGGACCAAGGCGCAGCGTGATATGCCAACATGTTTATTTAACGAATAAACACACAATAAACGAAACGTGAAGTCCAAGGTAGCACACAAACAACATACCTTACACGGAACAAGATCCTACAACCCACTAGTGCCAATAGGCTACCTAAGTATGGTCCCCAATCAGAGACAGCTGCCTCTGATTGGGAACCACACCGGCCAACATAGATCTACACGATCTAGATCTAAACATAGAAAATGCAACATAGAACAACACACCCTGACTCAACAAATACGAGTCCCCAGAGTCAGGGCATGACACAATCACAGAGGTCAGACGTTTCTTGTAGTTGGCCACCAGGTTTGCACACATCTCAGGAGGGATTTTGTTCCACTCCTCTTTGCAGATCTTCTCCAAGTCATTAAGGTTTCGAGGATGACATTTGGCAACTCGAACCTTCAGCTCCCTCCACAGATTTTCTATGGGATTAAGGTCTGGAGACTGGCTAGGCCACTCCAGGACCTTAACGTGCTTCTTCTTGAGCCACTCCTTTGTTGCCTTGGCCGTGTGTTTTGGGTCATTGTCATGCTGGAATACCCATCCACGACCCATTTTCAATGCCCTGGCTGAGGGAAGGAGGTTCTCACCCAAGATTTGATGGTACATGGCCCCGTCCATCGTCCCTTTGATGCGGTGAAGTTGTCCTGTCCCCTTAACAGAAAAACACCCCCAAAGCATAATGTTTCCACCTCCATGTTTGACGGTGGGGATGGTGTTCTTGGGGTCATAAGCAGCATTCCTCCTCCTCCAAACACGGCGAGTTGAGTTGATGCCAAAGAGCTCGATTTTGGTCTCATCTGACCACAAGACTTTCACCCAGTTCTCCTCTGAATCATTCAGATGTTCACTGGCAAACTTCAGATGGCCCTGTATATGTGCTTTCTTGAGCAGGGGGACCTTGCGGGCGCTGCAGGATTTCAGTCCTTCACGGCGTAGTGTGTTACCAATTGTTTTCTTGGTGACTATGGTCCCAGCTGCCTTGAGATCATTGACAAGATCCTCCCGTGTAGTTCTGGACTGATTCCTCACCGTTCTCATGATCATTGCAACTCCACGAGGTGAGATCTTGCATGGAGCCCCAGACCGAGGGAGATTGACAGTTATTTTGTGTTTCTTCCATTTGCGAATAATTGCACCAACTGTTGTCACCTTCTCACCAAGCTGCTTGGCGATAGTCTTGTAGCCCATTCCAGCCTTGTGTAGGTCTACAATATTGTCCCTGACATCCTTGGAGAGCTCTTTGATCTTGGGCATGGTGGAGAGTTTGGAATCTGATTGATTGATTGCTTCTGTGGACAGGTGTCTTTTATACAGGTAACAAACTGAGATTAGGAACACTCCCTTTAAGAGTGTGCTCCTAATCTCAGCTCATTACCTATATAAAAGACACCTGGGAGCCAGAAATCTTTCTGATTGAGAGGGGGTCAAATAATTATTTCCCTCATTAAAATGCAAATCAATTTATAACATTTTTGACATGCGTTTTTCTGGATTTTTTTGTTTTGTTATTCTGTCTCTCACTGTTCAAATAAACCTACCATTAAAATTATAGACTGATCATTTCTTTGTCAGTGGGCAAACGTACAAAATCAGCAGGGGATCAAATACTTTTATCCCTCACTGTATTAGCAGAATAATTTTTGATACCACACAAATTACAGGCACGCGCTGCAAAATAAATATACACTACCAGTCAAAAGTTTTAGAACACCTACTCTATGAGCGCTATGATGAAACTGGCTCTCATGAGGACCGCCACAGGAATGAAAGACCCAGAGTTACCTATGCTGCAGAGGATAAGTTCATTAGAGTTACCAGCCTCAGAAATTGCAGCCCAAATAAATGCTTCACAGAGTTCAAGACACAGACACATCTCAACATCAACTGTTCAGAGGAGACTGTGTGAATCAGGCCTTTATGGTCGAATTGCTGCAAAGAAACCACTACTAAAGGACACCAATAAGAAGAAGAGATCTGCTTGGGCCAAGAAACACGAGCAATGGACATTAGACCAGTGGAAATGTGTCCTTTGGTCTGGAGTCCAAATTGTAGATTTTTGGTTCCAACCACCTTGTCTTTGTGAGACGCGGTGTGGGTGAACGGATGATCTCCGCATGTGTAGTTCCCACCGTGAAGCATGGAGGAGGAGGTGTTATGGTGTGGGGGTGCTTTGCTGGTGACACTGTCTGTGATTGATTTAGAATTCAAGGCACACTTAACCAGCATGGCTACCACAGCATTCTGCAGCGATACACCATCCCATCTGGTTTGGGCTTAGTGGGAATATCATTTGTTTTTTAGCGAGTTATTACTGATATCAAATATTACTTTAACTTAAAATGGTCAATGCCGGATCCAGTTCTAGACCTATAAGCTTACTGTATATCACCGTATGACTTCTGTCTGGTGTTTCTTACAGGTTTCAGGGGCCCGTTCCTTCTCCATAGACTACAATAACAACTGCTTCCAGAAAGATGGGAAGCCATTCCAGTATATCTCCGGCAGTATCCACTATTCCCGCATCCCCCAGTACTACTGGAGAGACAGACTGCTCAAGATGTACATGGCTGGACTCAACGCTGTACAGATGTAAGTTCAACAGGGTGACAGAGATTATTTTTATATAATAAAATGTATCGCCTGGAGATTCCACTAAACAACAGCAGTAGTGTTGTACCTGTATACATGATTATATGCACTATTATTATTACTACTGAAATGAACTGGATTTCATTATCCTCATTCTACTGGATTTACTGAAATGCTGGACCACTGCACTGCTTTGGCAATATCTACAAATTGTATTTCATGTCAATAAATCTGAATTTGATATCTGAGAGTGAGGAACAATAGCTGGACTCAACGCTGTACAGATGTGAGAGAGAGAGAGAGAGATGGCTGGACTCAACGCTGTACAGATGAGAGCGAGAGAGAGAGAGATGGCTGGACTCAACGCTGTACAGAAGGTTACAATGAGACAAGGTTTTGGAGTACGAACATCCAATCCATACTATCCTTTTCTTCTAGAAATACTTGAAAGTACAAACATATTGTAGTGAAGTCAAGGTGTAGTCCCAGTAGGGACTTGAACCAATGACCTTGCGACTGTTAAACTAACAACACCTTAGTTTACTCCAAGAGATCTGAACCTCTTGACGAGGTCAGTAGGTGTTGGGTTAAGGTCGCTTCAATAGATCCTGTTGTTTTTCAGTACAGTGACTACTGCACTCTCTGGTGATATGTTTTCAGGACAGTGACTACTGCACTCTCTGGTGATATGTTTTCAGTACAGTGACTACTGCACTCTCTGGTGATATGTTTTCAGTACAGTGACTACTGCACTCTCTGGTGATATGTTTTCAGGACAGTGACTACTGCACTCTCTGGTGATATGTTTTCAGGACAGTGACTACTGCACTCTCTGGTGATATGTTTTCAGGACAGTGACTACTGGAACTAGCCTATGGATGTATTTTGTTCTAGAAATACTAGATGTTTTCCCTCCATGATGCAGCATACTTTTCTCTCTGTCAGTTACAGTGCATTCGAAAGTATTCAGACCCCTTGACTTTTCCAACATTTTGTTTACGTTACAGCCTTATTCTAAAATGGATTAAATAGTATTTTTTTCTCATCAATCTACACACAATACCCCCATAAAGACAAAGCAAAAACAGGTTTTTAGAAATTTTTGCAAATGTATTAAAAATAAAAAAAACTTTTACATAAGTATTCAGACCCTTTACTCAGTACTTTGTTGAAGCACCTTTTGGCAGCGATTACAGCCTCGAGTCTTCTTGGGTATGACGCTACAAGCTTGGCACACCTGTATTTGGGGAGTTTCTCCCATTCTTCTCTGCAGATCCTCTCAAGCTCTGTCAGGTGGGATGGGGAGCGTTGCTGCACAGCTATTTTCAGGTCTCTCCAGAGATGTTTGATCTGGTTCAAGTCCGGGCTCTGGCTGGGCCACTCAAGGACATTCAGAGACTTGTCCCGAAGCCACTCCTGCGTTGTCTTGGCTGTGTGCTTAGGGTCGTTGTCCTGTTGGAAGGTGAACCTTCGCCCCAGTCTGATGTCCTGAGCGCTCTGGAGCAGGTTTTCATCAAGGATCTCTGAACTTTGCTCCGTTCATCTTTCCCTCGATCCTGACTAGTCTCCCAGTCCCTGCCGCTGAAAAACATCACCACAGCATGATGCTGCCACCACCATGCTTCACCATAGGGATGGTGCCAGGTTTCCTCCAGATATGACGCCTGTCATTCAGGCCAAAGAGTTCAATCTTGGTTTCATCAGACCAGAGAATCTTGTTTCTCATGGTCTGAGTCCTTTAGGTGCCTTTTGGCAAACTCCAAGCGGGCTGTCATGTGCCTTTTACTGAGGAGTGGCTTCCGTCTGGCCACTAGCATAAAGCCTGATTGGTGGAGTGCTGCAGAGATGGTTGTCATTCTGGAAGGTTCTCCCATCTCCACAGAGGAACTCTGTAGCTCTGTCAGAGTGACCATCAGGTTCTTGGTCACTTCCCTGACCAAGGCCCTTCTCCCCTGATTGCTCAGTTTGGCCGGGCGGCCAGCTCTAGACTCTGCATTCCATAGTAAGAACATCATACCAACGGTCAAGCATGGTGGTGGTGGTGTGATGGTTTGGGGATGCTTTGCTGCCTCAGGACCTGGACTTGCCTTAATAGAAGGAACCATGACTTCTGCTCTGTATCAGATAATTCTACAGGAGAATGTCAGACCATCCGTCTGTGAGCTGAAGCTGAAGCGCAGCTGGGTCATGCAGCAAGACAATGATCCAAAACACACAATCAAGTCTACATGAAAATTGCTAAAAAGCAACAAATTGGAAGTTTTGGAATGGCCTAGTCAAAGTCCAGACCTAATCCCAATTGAGATGTTGTGGCAGGACTTGAAACGAGCAGTTCAAGCTTGAAAACCCACACGTCACTGAGTTAAAGCAGTTCTGCATGGAAGACTGGGCCAAAATTCCTCCACAGCGACGTGAGAGATTGATCAACAACTACAGGAAGCATTTGGTTGGAGTCATTGCAGCTAAATCTGGCACAACCAGTTATTGAGTGTAAGGGGGCAATTACTTTTTCACACAGGGGAATTGGGTGTTGCATAACTTATTTTTATGAAATAAATGAAATAAATATGTAATTGTTGTGTTATTTGTTCACTTATGTTCCCTTTATCTAATATTAGGTTTTGGTTGAAGATCTGATAACATTCAGTATCACAAATATGCAAAAGTAGAGAAAATTAGAAAGGGGGCAAATACTTTTTCATAGCACTGTATATTACCAGTAATCTTCCCTCTTGTCAGTTATGTTACCAGTAATCTTCCCTCTTGTCAGTTATGTTACCAGTAATCTTCCCTCTTGTCAGTTATGTTACCAGTAATCTTCCCTCTTGTCAGTTATGTTACCAGTAATCTTCCCTCTTGTCAGTTATGTTACCAGTAATCTTCCCTCTTGTCAGTTATGTTACCAGTAATCTTCCCTCTTGTCAGTTATGTTACCAGTAATCTTCCCTCTCTCTGTCAGTTATGTTACCAGTAATCTTCCCTCTCTCTGTCAGTTATGTTACCAGTAATCTTCCCTCTCTCTGTCAGTTATGTTACCAGTAATCTTCCCTCTCTCTGTCAGTTATGTTACCAGTAATCTTCCCTCTCTCTGTCAGTTATGTTACCAGTAATCTTCCCTCTCTCTGTCAGTTATGTTACCAGTAATCTTCCCTCTCTCTGTCAGTTATGTTACCAGTACTCTTCCCTCTCTCTGTCAGTTATGTTACCAGTAATCTTCCCTCTCTCTGTCAGTTATGTTACCAGTTCTTCCCTCTCTCTGTCAGTTATGTTACCAGTACTCTTCCCTCTCTCTGTCAGTTATGTTACCAGTACTCTTTCCTCTTGTCAGTTATGTTACCAGTACTCTTCCCTCTCTCTGTCAGTTATGTTACCAGTAATCTTCCCTCTCTCTGTCAGTTATGTTACCAGTAATCTTCCCTCTCTCTGTCAGTTATGTTACCAGTAATCTTCCCCCTCTTGTCAGTTATGTTACCAGTAATCTTCCCTCTCTCTGTCAGTTATGTTACCAGTAATCTTCCCTCTCTCTGTCAGTTATGTTACCAGTAATCTTCCCTCTCTCTGTCAGTTATGTTACCAGTACTCTTCCCTCTCTCTGTCAGTTATGTTACCAGTACTCTTTCCTCTTGTCAGTTATGTTACCAGTACTCTTCCCTCTCTCTGTCAGTTATGTTACCAGTAATCTTCCCTCTTGTCAGTTATGTTACCAGTACTCTTCACTCTCTCTGTCAGTTATGTTACCAGTAATCTTCCCTCTCTCTGTCAGTTATGTTACCAGTACTCTTCCCTCTCTCTGTCAGTTATGTTACCATTACTCTTCCCTCTCTCTGTCAGTTATGTTACCAGTACTCTTTCCTCTTGTCAGTTATGTTACCAGTACTCTTCCCTCTCTCTGTCAGTTATGTTACCAGTAATCTTCCCTCTCTCTGTCAGTTATGTTACCAGTAATCTTCCCTCTCTCTGTCAGTTATGTTACCAGTAATCTTCCCCCTCTTGTCAGTTATGTTACCAGTAATCTTCCCTCTCTCTGTCAGTTATGTTACCAGTAATCTTCCCCCTCTTGTCAGTTATGTTACCAGTACTCTTTCCTCTTGTCAGTTATGTTACCAGTACTCTTCCCTCTCTCTGTCAGTTATGTTACCAGTACTCTTTCCTCTCTCTGTCAGTTATGTTACCAGTAATCTTCCCTCTCTCTGTCAGTTATGTTACCAGTAATCTTCCCTCTCTCTGTCAGTTATGTTACCAGTACTCTTCCCTCTCTCTGTCAGTTATGTTACCAGTAATCTTCCCTCTCTCTGTCAGTTATGTTACCAGTAATCTTCCCTCTCTCTGTCAGTTATGTTACCAGTAATCTTCCCTCTCTCTGTCAGTTATGTTACCAGTACTCTTCCCTCTCTCTGTCAGTTATGTTACCAGTACTCTTCCCTCTCTCTGTCAGTTATGTTACCAGTAATCTTCCCTCTCTCTGTCAGTTATGTTACCAGTACTCTTTCCTCTTGTCAGTTATGTTACCAGTACTCTTCCCTCTCTTGTCAGTTATGTTACCAGTACTCTTCCCTCTCTCTGTCAGTTATGTTACCAGTACTCTTTCCTCTTGTCAGTTATGTTACCAGTACTCTTCCCTCTCTCTGTCAGTTATGTTACCAGTACTCTTCCCTCTCTCTGTCAGTTATGTTACCAGTACTCTTCCCTCTTGTCAGTTATGTTACCAGTACTCTTTCCTCTTGTCAGTTATGTTACCAGTAATCTTCCCTCTCTCTGTCAGTTATGTTACCAGTACTCTTCCCTCTCTCTGTCAGTTATGTTACCAGTACTCTTCCCTCTCTCTGTCAGTTATGTTACCAGTAATCTTCCCTCTCTCTGTCAGTTATGTTACCAGTAATCTTTCCTCTTGTCAGTTATGTTACCAGTACTCTTCCCTCTCTCTGTCAGTTATGTTACCAGTAATCTTCCCTCTCTCTGTCATTTATGTTACCAGTACTCTTTCCTCTTGTCAGTTATGTTACCAGTACTCTTCCCTCTCTCTGTCAGTTATGTTACCAGTAATCTTCCCTCTCTCTGTCAGTTATGTTACCAGTACTCTTCCCTCTTGTCAGTTATGTTACCAGTACTCTTTCCTCTTGTCAGTTATGTTACCAGTACTCTTCCCTCTCTTGTCAGTTATGTTACCAGTAATCTTCCCTCTTGTCAGTTATGTTACCAGTACTCTTCCCTCTTGTCAGTTATGTTACCAGTACTCTTCCCTCTCTCTGTCAGTTATGTTACCAGTAATCTTCCCTCTCTCTGTCAGTTATGTTACCAGTACTCTTCCCTCTTGTCAGTTATGTTACCAGTAATCTTCCCTCTTGTCAGTTATGTTACCAGTACTCTTCCCTCTTGTCAGTTATGTTACCAGTAATCTTCCCCCTCTTGTCAGTTATGTTACCAGTAATCTTCCCTCTTGTCAGTTATGTTACCAGTACTCTTCCCTCTTGTCAGTTATGTTACCAGTACTCTTCCCTCTTGTCAGTTATGTTACCAGTAATCTTCCCTCTCTCTGTCAGTTATGTTACCAGTAATCTTCCCTCTCTCTGTCAGTTATGTTACCAGTAATCTTCCCTCTCTCTGTCAGTTATGTTACCAGTAATCTTCCCTCTCTCTGTCAGTTATGTTACCAGTAATCTTCCCTCTCTCTGTCAGTTATGTTACCAGTAATCTTCCCTCTCTCTGTCAGTTATGTTACCAGTACTCTTCCCTCTCTCTGTCAGTTATGTTCCCTGGAACTTCCATGAGGAAAAGCAGGGTGTTTACAACTTCTCTGGGGATCGAGACCTGGAGAACTTCCTGGATCTGGCCAATCAGACGGGCCTCCTGGTGATCCTCCGCCCCGGACCCTACATCTGTGCAGAGTGGGAGATGGTAAGCACTACAGTACATAGAGGTATCTTCCTGTCAGAGGAGGCTGGTGAGTGGAAGACGGGTTCACAGTAATGAATGGAATGGTATCAAAGTGCTGAATTTATTCCGTTCCAGCCATTACTATGATCCCGTCCTTCGATTTAAAGGGCCACCATTACATTTGACATTTAGGGCATTTAAGGAGACGCTCTTCTCCAGAGACTTAGTCAGTCAGCTCCCCACTGCTTCCTTCACTATGGAGCTATGGTTTCCTTGACCTGCACTCTGTTAGACGGTCTCTGGTCAAAGTCAGGCCGTTCAGCTGACAGCAACACATTGGAAACTCACTACATCACATGTTGTGAGGCTGTAGTCTACTGTAAGTCCTATTCTCACCTGGAGAACCGTAGAAGGAGAGGGACTGATATGTGAGAGAAGTTCATGAAAATATCTGAATCATGCTTATAGACAGGAGAAGTTCATCAACATTATATTGTTTCTGTCTCTTTCAGGGTGGTTTACCTGCTTGGTTGCTCCAGAAACCAAACATTGTACTTCGCTCAGCAGATACAGGTATCATAAACCATGCTGCCAGTACACAGGTATCATAAACCATGCAGCCAGTACACAGGTATCATAAACCATGCTGCCAGTACACAGGTATCATAAACCATGCTGCCAGTACACAGGTATCATAAACCATGCTGCCAGTACACAGGTATCATAAACCATGCAGCCAGTACACAGGTATCATAAACCATGCTGCCAGTACACAGGTATCATAAACCATGCTGCCAGTACACAGGTATCATAAACCATGCTGCCAGTACACAGGTATCATAAACCATGCTGCCAGTACACAGGTATCATAAACCATGCTGCCAGTACACAGGTATCATAAACCATGCTGCCAGTACACAGGTATCATAAACCATGCTGCCAGTACACAGGTATCATAAACCATGCTGCCAGTACACAGGTATCATAAACCATGCTGCCAGTACCATGCCCTTTACACATATGGGGCGGCAGGTAGCTTAGTGGGTAAGAGCGTTGTGCCAGTAACCGAAAGGTCGCTGGTTCTAATCCCCGAGCCGACTAGGTGAAAAATCGGTCGATGTGCCCTTGAGCAAGGCACTTAACCCTAATTGCTCCTGTAAGTCGCTCTGGATAAGAGCGTCTGCTAAATGACAAAAATAAAAATAAAATAAATATATCAGTAATTCAGTGTTCTGCTTGGTTGGTGTTTAATCGTTGACTGACGTCTTGCTTTTGTTCCAGACTACTTGGAGGCAGTGACCACCTGGATGGCAGTGCTGCTACCCAAGATGAGGAGATGGCTGTATACAAACGGAGGCAACATCATCACTGTGCAGGTAGTTACAGTTCAACAATCTGCTTGTACCAGGCTGTCATGAGGGCATTGATTCATTATGTTAAGGAATGTATCCTTCATCATGATCAGGATAGTTTCCTTCCTTCCTTCCTGTGACTCCACTAGGTGGAGAATGAGTACGGGAGCTACTATGTGTGTGACTATAACTACATGCGTCACCTGAGGACCCTGTTCCGGTTCTTCCTGGGGGAGAACACGGTTCTCTTCACGACCGACGGGAACACGGACCGGGAAATGACCTGTGGGACCCTGGAGGGAATGTACGCCACTATAGACTTTGGGACAGGTAGGAGTTTGAGACAGCTAACCCTAACTTTAACCCTAACCCAGGTAGGACTGTACGCCACTATAGACTTTGGGACGGGTAGGAAGTCGAGGGACAGGAGGAGAGAGGTTTCTAGAGATTGTGTTGTAGCATAGTTGGCACCACGTCGTTTTAAAAGCTTATTTTGTTCTCCACTTAGACGTCAACATATCCCAAGCTTTCAGTCGGCAGCGGAGATTCGAACCAAGAGGCCCTCTGGTGAGTCAAGTAGTTTCTCACAACAACTTCATATAGTAGATGATGTGGGACCGTACCTAAACTGCTATGTGCGTTCCAGGTGAACTCTGAGTTCTACACGGGGTGGCTGGACCACTGGGGGGATAAGCATGCTCAGGTGGACACCCAGAAGGTCAGCAGGATGCTGGGAGAGATGCTCAGTATGGGGGCCAACGTCAACATGTAGGTCCCCGAAACCTCTCTCTGTGTATGATAAAGTGCCAAAGGTTTCATACAAAAGGCAGTAGATGTTTTAGCAATTTACCGATAAGACACTGACATTGTTTTTGATAAGGTGTAGTAGTAAGCAACAAAGCTAACTGAATGAGCTGATAGCATAAACAATGTTTGTCAAAACAAAAGCAATTGTCCTATTCTCTCACTACAGGTATATGTTTGAAGGAGGGACAAACTTTGGCTACTGGAATGGTTGGTTAAATAAGCTGTATCAATATTTCCGTCATTAAGTCTCGTATACCAATCATTAATACTGTCGAAGTATAACTCGTTGTTGCCCTCATGTTACCCCTGTAGGAGTGGATATATACCTGTTGTCATGTTACCCCTGTAGGAGTGGATATATACCTGTTGTCATGTTACCCCTGTAGGAGTGGATATATACCTGTTGTCATGTTACCCCTGTAGGATCAGATATATACCTGTTGTCACGTTACCCCTGTAGGAGTGGATATATACCTGTTGTCATGTTACCCCTGTAGGAGTGGATATATACCTGTTGTCATGTTACCCCTGTAGGAGTGGATATATATACCTGTTGTCATGTTACCCCTGTAGGATCAGATATATACCTGTTGTCATGTTACCCCTGTAGGAGTGGATATATACCTGTTGTCATGTTACCCCTGTAGCAGTGGATATATACCTGTTGTCACGTTACCCCTGTAGGAGTGGATATATACCTGTTGTCACGTTACCCCTGTAGGAGTGGATATATACCTGTTGTCATGTTACCCCTGTAGGAGTGGATATATACCTGTTGTCATGTTACCCCTGTAGGATCAGATATATACCTGTTGTCATGTTACCCCTGTAGGAGTGGATATATACCTGTTGTCATGTTACCCCTGTAGGAGTGGATATATACCTGTTGTCACGTTACCCCTGTAGGAGTGGATATATACCTGTTGTCATGTTACCCCTGTAGGAGTGGATATATACCTGTTGTCATGTTACCCCCTGTAGGATCAGATATATACCTGTTGTCACGTTACCCCTGTAGGAGTGGATATATACCTGTTGTCATGTTACCCCTGTAGGAGTGGATATATACCTGTTGTCATGTTACCCCTGTAGGAGTGGATATATACCTGTTGTCATGTTACCCCTGTAGGATCAGATATATACCTGTTGTCATGTTACCCCTGTAGGAGTGGATATATACCTGTTGTCATGTTACCCCTGTAGGAGTGGATATATACCTGTTGTCATGTTACCCCTGTAGGAGTGGATATATACCTGTTGTCACGTTACCCCTGTAGGAGTGGATATATACCTGTTGTCATGTTACCCCTGTAGGAGTGGATATATACCTGTTGTCATGTTACCCCTGTAGGATCAGATATATACCTGTTGTCATGTTACCCCTGTAGGATCAGATATATACCTGTTGTCATGTTACCCCTGTAGGAGTGGATATATACCTGTTGTCATGTTACCCCTGTAGGAGTGGATATATACCTGTTGTCACGTTTCCCCTGTAGGAGTGGCTATATACCTGTTGTCACGTTACCCCTGTAGGAGTGGATATATACCTGTTGTCATGTTACCCCTGTAGGAGTGGATATATACCTGTTGTCACGTTTCCCCTGTAGGAGTGGCTATATACCTGTTGTCACGTTACCCCTGTAGGAGTGGATATATACCTGTTGTCATGTTACCCTTGTAGGAGTGGATATATACCTGTTGTCATGTTACCCCTGTAGGATCAGATATACCTGTTGTCATGTTACCCCTGTAGGAGTGGATACATAACTGTTGTCACGTTACCCCTGTAGGAGCAGACCATGACAACAGGTTTAGGTCGGTAGTGACCAGTTATGACTACAACGCCCCTCTGTCTGAGGCAGGAGACCCTACAGAGAAACTACTAGGAATACGGGACACCATCAGCAAGGTAACATGACTGGGACCAACCCACAGGACCCAAATGGCACCCTATGCCCTATATAGTGCACTACTTTAGACCAGGGCCCATAGTGCTCTGGTGTACTATATGGGGATACTAGGGTACCACAGGCTCTGGTCAAAAGTATCACACTAGATAGGGAGGCACTTGAGATGCAGACCCGTTTAAATATATTATATTGATGACAAGTGTGTTGTGTGTTTTACTGGCTATATTTTCCCCTTTCCATCTAGTTCAGAGACATCCCTGTGGGTCCCATGCCCCCAGCCTCTCCCAAGATGGCCTATGGCTTTGTGACTCTGACAATGGTATGGGCTCATTATAGCATACTTCGCTACCAGGACCCAACACATTGCCTTATAATAGACGCGACGATAGGTATTGGTTGAAGTTCAGTGTTAAATTCAAATCTCCCTACCGTCATATCAATATGCCAATATGACACCAATCTCGATGGAAATTCACAAAACAACTTGATTGGAGGTACTCAACACACCCCTCGCCTCTCGTCATGAGCCGTCCCAGCCGTTACTGAGAACCACATACCAGATTTTTAACAGGGTCGTTAGCAATTGATTTTTATGAGTATTTCTTGCGCCGACCAAGCTCAAATTCTAGACGTCTGATTTAAAAAGAGACTATAGCGTCCATAAAGTGACCATTGGACTTAAGAAATGCCGGATTGACTAAGTTTATAGGTGCAACAGTTTTTATTAAATGTATAATTTATCGCTCTCACGTGCTCATTTCTGTCCGTTAAGAACCAACGATGTGCTACCTTGTTTCTATCATTTTTGACAATGCTAACATCTTTCTTAGCTGAAACTCAGAGTTGTAACACAACAAGACAGCTGCTTGCGCCATACTGCCAGTCATAAGAAGTGTATGGAACAAACCTAGGCTACTGTCTATAGCGAGCTATATGGTGGTATTCAAGCTGAGGTTATTTGATTAGCTAGGTAGCTAACATTAGCTTACTTGTACAAAGTCCATCAGCTAGCCTCTGTAGCTAGCTAACACCAGTCAGCTGAAAGCTAGCTAGCTAACAAACAGGAAAATAAAAGGTAGCTTGCCAATTCATTTGGTTTTGTTTTGATTAGCTAGGTAGCTAGCTAATGTAAAGTTATATCAGTCAGATGAGAGCTAACGTTGGCTAGCTAGCTAACCAACAAGCGAGGAAAGCTAGCTAGCTACATATAGCCAAGTAAGGTTTTTCACCTAAGGCTGAAGTCATCATATGTAAACTGCAGTTTTAAGAAAATAAAAAAAGTGTTAAGTAAAAAAATTAAATAATAATTAAAGAGCAGCAGTAAAATAACATAACAGTAGGGAGGCTATATATACAGGGGGGTACCGGTGCAGAGTCAATGTGCGGGGGCACAGGTTAGTCGAGGTAATTGAGGTAATATGTACATGTGGGTAGAGTTAAAGTGACTATGCATAAATAATAAACAGAGTAGCAGCAGCGTAAAAGAGGGGATTGGGGTGGGGTTGGGACGGCATTGCAAATAGTCCGGGTAGCCATGATTAGCTGTTCAGGAGTCTTATGGCTTGGGGGTAGAAGCTGTTAAGAAGCCTTTTGGACCTAGACTTGGCGCTCCGGTACCGCTTGCCGTGCGGTAGCAGAGAGAACAGTTTATGACTAGGGTGGCTGGAGTATTTGACCATTTTTAGGGCCTTCCTTTGACACCGCCAGGTATAGAGGTCCTGGATGGCAGGAAGCTTGGCCCCAGTGATGTACTGGGCCGTACGCACTACCCTCTGTAGTGCCTTGCGGTCGGAGGCCGAGCAGTTGCCATACCAGGCGGTGATGCAACCAGTCAGGATGCTCTCGATGGTGCAGATGTATATCTTTTTGAGGATCTGAGGACCCATGCCAAATCTTTTCAGTCTCCTGAGGGGAATAGGCTTTGTCGTGCCCTCTTCACGACTGTCTTGGTGTGTTTGGACCATCATAGTTTGTTGGTGATGTGGACACCAAGGAACTTGAAGCTCTCAACCTGTTCCACTACAGCCCCGTCGATGAGAATGGGGGCGTGCTCAGTCCTCTTTTTTTCCCCTGTAGTCCACAATCATCTCCTTTGTCTTGATCATGTTGAGGGAGAGATTGTTATCCTGGCACCACACGGCCAGGTCTCTGACCTCCTCTCTATAGGCTGTCTCATCGTTGTCGGTGATCAGGCCTACCACTGTTGTGTCATCGGCAAACCTAATGATGGTGTTGGAGTCGTGCCTGGCCATGCAGTCATGGGTGAACAGGGAGTACAGGAGGGGACTGAGCACGCACCCCTGAGGGGCCCCCGTGTTGAAGATCAGCGTGGCAGATGTGTTGTTACCTACCCTCACCACCTGGGGGCGGCCCGTCAGGAAGTCCAGGATCCAGTTGCAGAGGGAGGTGTTTAGTCCCAGGGTCCTTACAGTTAGCTACGCTACATTTCCTCGACTAAGACCAAGACCACAACACAAACCATAGCCGAGAAAAACAAATTGCTTTGTTAAGAAACAGTAAGTTAGCTATGTTGAACCGCATGTAGTAAACGGTTGAACACCAAATGCATATTTGTGCATTCTTACCATATTGACAGCATCGCTGTTTCAAACAGGTGTCCTAATAAATTCCAGCTCCAGCATAGACTCCCTCTCCTGCCGTCTTGACATGATGTGAGCTGACTGATCAACACAGTGTCAAATTACTTTTCAGTGTGTTCACAGGAAATCTGAAATCGCCATCCACAAGTAGAACATAGTCTGGGGGCTCCACCCACTGCACCAGGTTAAAACAACAGCAGCCTAGTCTCATAGTCTAGTCGTAACATAGTACCTGTAAATCCGGGACACTGAAATTAGTATGATATGTTACGTTTGGTACGGTTACATAAGACAGGTTACTTTAAAGGAGAAATCACTCTTTTGTTTTTATGTAAATGAAATGTTTATAGAAGGGTCCAGACACTTTTTGTTTTTGAGAAACGTATCCCAGCTGCGATTCACTTCCTCATTGCTTGTTGTGCAGTGTCAGGGCACGCAAAATACATGAACAAACGCTCCACAAACACCCAAATATACAGGCTTTCAAATGATGCCCACCTGACCCAGGCTTTCAAATGATGCCCACCTGACCCAGGCTTTCAAATGATGCCCACCTGACCCAGGCTTTCAAATGATGCCCACCTGACCCAGGCTTTCAAATGATGCCCACCTGACCCAGGCTTTCAAATGATGCCCACCTGACCCAGATTGCGATTTTATAACGGACCGTTTTTGGATTGCGTAAACAACATTAATTGTGAGGGCAGGAAAGCAGGGTTGTGTTACAAACAACTACCAGTGTGTTTGCTTTAGTTCCTCAACCTCACAGCTAGGAGAGCTCAAAAAACCCACCTTATAGTTGAATCCTCTTCTTTGAGTCATAAAAGTGCATTGAAATGACTTAAGAACTGTGCACACTTTGGAAAGGTGTGTCCACTTGGAGACAGTGGAGAGGTGTGTCCACTTGGAGACAGTGGAGAGGTGTGTCCACTTGGAGACAGTGGAGAGGTGTGTCCACTTGGAGACAGTGGAGAGGTGTGGTCACTTGGAGACAGTGGAGAGGTGTGTCCACTTGGAGACACTGGAGAGGTGTGGTCACTTGGTGACACTGGAGAGGTGTGGTCACTTGGAGACACTGGAGAGGTGTGTCCACTTGGAGACAGTGGAGAGGTGTGGTCACTTGGAGACAGTGGAGAGGTGTGTCCACTTGGAGACAGTGGAGAGGTGTGTCCACTTGGAGACACTGGAGAGGTGTGTCCACTTGGAGACAGTGGAGAGGTGTGGTCACTTGGAGACAGTGGAGAGGTGTGTCCACTTGGAGACAGTGGAGAGGTGTGTCCACTTGGAGACAGTGGAGAGGTGTGTCCACTTGGAGACAGTGGAGAGGTGTGTCCACTTGGAGACACCAGTTAGTCCTCTCACTCAAACCCTTGTCATTTTATTGTCTGTTTTCCAGGAATATTCTTATCATGTTACTGAATGTATCCTGAGTATTTTGTTAACAACAAATGCGGCGAAAAGTACAGTAAATGTAAAATGCAGATAAAATCAACAGTGTAATGTTTGGATTCAGTCTTGTCAGGTCAACTGTTGTTTTCCATATTTACTCTGCTCATCTGCATGTAGCTCTATCCATATGGGTAAATTCCCACCAGTGTAAAGGGTTAACATAAAATATCTTGGTTGACACATTTAGAGTGAATGTTACAGATTAAAGGCCTACTGTTATTGTTATAATTTGCATTGTGAAATGTAAATGTAAAAATAGCTTATAATACCATTAATACTCCCAACTGTTATTTTTGGAAGAATAACTATAGATATTTGTGCAGACCACCTGCAGGTTGAAGACCAATGGCCCTAGTTAAATGACAAATAAATCCATAGTATGACATACTGTATGACTTAAACCTCTGGCTCTGTTTGGTAGGTAGGGAACCTCAGCAGCCTGTTGGACACGCTGTCACCTCAGGGTCCCGTCCGATCCCGGTACCCTCTGTCTTTTGAAGAGATGAAGCAGGTAGGTCTACCACTTCTGTCTGTTGTAGTTATGGAGTGTTGTTGTCAATAATCTGAGAAAAATGATGTAACTTTGTTTTAACTTGACTTAATGTGTTGTTTAGTACTATGGTTTCATGCTGTACCGGACCACGCTGCCCAGGGACCTACCAGAAGACACACCCCTCATCTCCCCTCTGAATGGGGTTCATGACCGAGCATATGTCTCTGTCTGTGGGGTAGGTGTCTCTGTCTGTGGGATAGGTGTGTCTGTCTGTGGGGTAGGTGTCTCTGTCTGTGGGGTAGGTGTCTCTGTCTGTGGGGTAGGTGTCTCTGTCCGTGGGGTAGGTGTCTCTGTCTGTGGGGTAGGTGTGTCTTTCTGTGGGGTAGGTGTCTGTTTGTCTGTGGGGTAGGTCAATCAATCACATTTGATTTATAAAGCCCTTTTTACAACAGCAGCAATGCAGATGTAGAAGCACGGTGGCTAGGAAAAACTCCCTAGAAAGGCAGGAACCTAGGAAGAAACCTAGAGAGGAACCAGGCTCTGAGGGGTGGCCAGTCCTCTTCTGGCTGTGCCGGGTTGAGATTATAACAGTACATGGCCATTAAGGCCAGATTTTTCTCCAAGATGTTAAAACGTTCATAGATGACCAGCAGGGTCAAATAATAATCACAGCGTTTGTAGAGGTTGCAACAGGTCAGTACATCAGGAGTAAATGTCAATTGGCATTTCATAGCGGGGCATTTAGAGGTTGAAATAGCCGGTGCGGTAGAGAGAGAGAGTTGAAAACAGCAGGTCTGGGACAAGGTAGCACATCCGGTGAACAGGTCAGGGTTCCATAGCCGCAGGCAGAAGAGTGGAAACTGGAGCAGCAGCACGACCAGGTGGACTGGGGACAGCCAGGAGTCATCAGGCCAGGTAGTCCTGAGGCATGGTCCTAGGGCTCAGGTCCTCCGGGATATATATATATATATGTGTGTGTGTGTGTGTGAGAGAGAGACTCATGCTGACTAGGCCGAGCGCCATGTTGATTCTGGCGTGATCAGGACACGCAGGTTGAAATATCAAAATGAACTCTGAACCAACTATATTAATTTGGGGATAGGTCGAAAAGCCATTAAACATTCATGGACATTTAGCTAGCTAGCTTGCTGTTGCTAGCTATTTTGTCCTGGGATACAAACATTGGGTTGTTATTTTACCTGAAATGCAAAAGGTCCTTTTTTTTTCTGGATAGTTGTAGAATTTTGAGTCACACAAAATCATGTGATCTCTACTCCGACATTTAATCCACAGATAAAAGTGGAAACCTAGTTAGTTCTCTCCAATCTCTCCAGTAGTAGTAGTGGTCGTCATCTTCTTCAGACTTTATTTACATTTACATTTCAGTCATTTAGCAGACGCTCTTATCCAGAGCGACTTAGTGAGTGCATACATTTTCATACTGGCCCCCTGTGGGAAACGAACCCACAACCCTGGCGTTGCAAGCGCCATGCTCTACCAACTGAGCTACAGGGGATCCTATATGGCGGTTGGCAACCAACTTTAAGGTGCATTACTGCCACCAACTGGACTGGAGTGCGGACCTCAGTTCATCTTTCAATCATTACGTTACGAACCCCGTGGCTGTAAACGTCTAGGGTGGATGGACAAGAGACTCGTAACATCATTCATGCGAATTAGAATCGTGACATGGAACAGTGAGAACTAAAACTACACGACAACCATAAACTACCGTCAAACATAAAAGGTTTATTTTTGAACACACAGTAAATGTTTGGGAAAAAGGGCTGAGCAGGACCCAAGAAATGACGCAATAGTGTAAAAAAAACTAAACTGATCTTGCCTGCATCAAGAACCACTAAGCTACTGCTAATCATACAAAAATGACAGTGGGTGGTCCGCTCAGGTCTAACTAGTGTTTTTAGACAGTTTTCTTCCTATGGGTAATGTAGGCCCAAGGGCAACTTGCTTAAATTCCCCTTTTCCCAGAAACACACAAAGTTACCAAACAGAGTAACCAGCAAATTAGTGAGTACACAGGACACCACAGTATCCATACTCACATACGGAAATAGCCTCTCTCTACAAACACAACTGACTTGGCTTTTAAACAATGGGATGTGTGATTGTAAAAACCAGAAACAGGTGGTGCAATGCAGAGGAATGTCCACTGATTGGTCCACCTCAGCAATCAGCAGACACCCCAACGACCACCAATCAGGAACATACAGGACACCTGTGATTAGGGCAGAAGGAGAGGCAAAACACAAAAAGACACAGGATACCTGTATCCGTAACACACCCACGTGGGTATAGGCTCCTAAAAACCAATGAGGAGATGGGAGAGGCGGGACTTGCAGCGCGTCAAGCGTCACAAATAGAACCAAGTTCTATTTTAGCGCCTGGCTACGCAGACGAGCAGTTTGGATGAAATAATTGAATAATATGTATGCGTACGTTTATTTTGCAACGCGAGCTGTGGTCAGTACGTCAGGCGCCGCTCCAGAATCTCCCATAAGTATTCGATTGGGTGTTTTTTTTTACACAGGTTGTGTGATGGTTTTGTCCTGTCAGCATGTTGTACAGAGGTTGTGTGATGGTTTTGTCCTGTCAGCATGTTGTACACAGGTTGTGTGATGGTTTTGTCCTGTCAGCATGTTGTACACAGGTTGTGTGATGGTTTTGTCCTGTCAGCATGTTGTACAGAGGTTGTGTGATGGTTTTGTCCTGTCAGCATGTTGTACAGAGGTTGTGTGATGGTTTTGTCCTGTCAGCATGTTGTACACAGGTTGTGTGATGGTTTTGTCCTGTCAGCATGTTGTACACAGGTTGTGACCTGCTCCTATATACAGGTTTTCCAGGGGCTGCTGGAGAGAGACACGACTCTGGTGATGAACGTAACAGGGAAGGAGGGGGACCAGATCGATGTTCTAGTGGAGAACATGGGACGGGTCAACTTTGGCAGCAAGATCAACGACTTCAAGGCAAGTCTACATCAACCTCAGTAGACACACAGACACGTGTTTCTATCTTTTATCTGAATAAAATAGGTTTTAGCAGTTTAAGATTTATGGTAGTGAGTGAGGCGTTGGTCACACAAAGGTCCACACTCCAATATCCAAGAGAAACGATGAAGTTATTGGAGTCTACAATAGGAAGGTTCACGTAAGTATTACTCAACTTTTGCAAGGAATGGCTAGCCAATCCCAGATCTGTTTGTGTCCTTGCCAAGCCAAACATCTCATGATGAAGAGTAAAAAGGAGTTGGCCTGGCAACCAGACTGGCACTCAGGGTAAGGAATTGAGACTTAGTTGATCCCTTGGTCATGTCTGTATTTTGCAGGGCCTGTTGAGTAACCTGGTCCTGGGTGAAGATGTGCTGACCAACTGGCAGATCTACCCTCTGGACATTGACGGAGCCATCGCCTCCGGATGGCCCCAGTCAGGCCAGCGACGCTCCCCTCCCGGCCCAGTCAGAGGGCCCTCAGATGGGCCAGTCTTCTACCAGGGCACCCTGCCTCCCAACGGTCTGGCCAGGGACACCTTTCTCCGGCTCAATGAATGGACCAAGGTGAGGACATAATCAATACTGAGTTAATACTACTGAGTCTATTTACCGTGGCTTACTATTACAGAAATACTACGGTAGTCCTTCCCCAATATGGAGATCTATGAACACAATGGCTCTCGAAAAAAACAAGAGTCAAACAGATGTATGTCCTCCGTGTTCACTATCAGTTCCTTCTTGGGGTTAAGCATATTGGGTCAAATCCTCCACTGACGACATGCCAGTTCTGCGTTGAGAACTGACTGTCTCCCCTCTGCCTCTCCGCCGTTCCCAGGGCCAGGTGTGGATCAACGGGATGAACCTGGGAAGGTATTGGCCTAAGAGAGGTCCCCAGCAGACCCTGTACGTCCCAGGGGCCCCTGCTCAGCCCCACCCAGCCCAACAACATCACAGTCCTGGAGCTAGAGAGGGCCCCTCCACACACCAGGGTCCTCTTTATGGACCGGCCCCAGCTCGGCAGCACTGCTGGCAAGACATGACACCACAGCTACAGAAGGTCAACAGGCAGAAGACAGCAGACACACACCAGGGTCTCCTTTTTTGCACCGCTGGCAAGACATGACACCTCGGATAAATCAGCTTCTTCATAGTTGACACAGCCAATCCCAGCAAGGGAAACATACAGCAGAGACGACAGACAGCCAATCAATCCCTCCGAATAAGTCTCTGTCCAACCAGCATCAGCTAATACTCGTCTATCAATCAATGTATTAGTAGTATATCCTGTATCAATCAATTCATTTCAGCAGACTTTTCTAGAGTGACTTACTTAGTCTATAACAAATGTAACAACTGCTGAGCCAGACTTTCAGTTTCTGAACCCCTTTCTCTGCTACATCTGCAGTAAGCAAATATGATGATCTGTTTAAAGGAAACATAAGGTTTGGTTTTCAGTGTTAAGCTCATTAATAAATAGATGACAGTTATGGTAATCATTGTTTTGACATGATTTAATAACACGAGATGCTGTAAATATGATGCTTCTGTCAAATGCTGCCTCTGTTTGCACTTTACTAGATACCTTTTAATAAATCATTTTCTTAAAAAACGTAGTGTGTACACTGTACATTAATAAACAGCATTTCATCACATGTACAGTTGAATTAATATCGTTTATTATTATTTCATTTGACACCAGTTGACCCGGTTCAGACCTAGAGGAGCCATCAGCTCTGCCTCCTTTGACTGGTCCGTGGGTTTTTGTGGTGGAAAGTCAGTTTCCTCCTTTACTCAATGCTCACTCCTGTCTGCTTCGCTCCAGTTAGCCACATTAGCCTTGCGGTGCTCCTGGACACAGCAGAGTTTAAGGTTAGGCTGAGGCTGTTATGGTCATATGTCAGGACCTGTAAGTAGCAATGTTATCGTCGGGTGTTTAGGTTCCTGCTTTGCTCCAGTTAGCCACATTAGCCTTGCGGTGCTCCTGGACACAGCGAGGGGTGCAGAAGCTGAAGTCCAGGTATTGAAACGGGACCTTTCCCACCAGGGACTCCCCACACTGCCAACACCGCCTGGTAGAGAGGACAGAACCGTAGACACTAGACGGTATATGACAGGAGAGAACACAACAGTAGACACTAGACGGTATATGATAGGAGAGAACACAACAGTAGACACTAGACGGTATATGACGGAGAGAACAGTAGACACCTAGACGGTATATGACAGGAGAGAACACAACAGTAGACACTAGACGGTATATGACAGGAGAGAACACAACAGTAGACACTAGACGGTATATGACAGGAGAGAACACAACAGTAGACACTAGACGGTATATGACAGGAGAGAACACAACAGTAGACACTAGACGGTATATGACAGGAGAGAACACAACAGTAGACACTAGACGGTATATGACAGGAGAGAACACAACAGTAGACACTAAACTAACTCACAAGTTGAGCCAGTACAGAGACAGGCTGTTTGAGTAATGTGTTGTATTCATTTGTCTAACATTGTTTTGTGTTCAGTGAGTCAAAGAGAAGGTTGTTTGGACTAATGGCTGCGGTCTTAATAATGTTAGTAATGTCTTAGTAATGTTACCTGGAGTTTGAAAGGTCTCCCCCTGTTGATGCCTTATGGTCTGCCAACCTCTTCTCTGCAGCCAGTGCTCTCTGTGGGTGGAAATTTGACAGTCGAGCTGCTCGTTTTGAAAAAACTTGTTTTAACAAAAAATTATAATAATCTGTTTTCATACCTTCTCTCGGTCGCTTAAGGAGGCAAATCTTTTCTTCTCCTCGACCTCCATCTCTAGTCGTCTCCTCTCCTCCTTCTGCTCTTTCTCCCTCTTTTTCTTTGCTGCTTTCTGGGCCTTTTTCTTCTCCGTCTTCTGGGACTCCAACTCTGCTGTCAGCGGCCCGGGAACCTTAAGGGAAAAGACCCAACGTTAGACTCCAACTCTGCTGTCAGCGGCCCGGGAACCTTAAGGGAAAAGACCCAACGTTAGACTTCCCTGCTGTATCACAAAATGCTCAAACATTTCTATGTACATCTTTGGACAATTTAATGCTCATTGTTTTATAAAAATGTTACTTCGTGTGCTTGAAATGTGTCCTTGCTCATCATGTGAAATGGCCCAGGTACTTCTCCGTCTAGCTAACTCTCAGAACAATACAATCCCCATTGGTTTATTCAGTGTGATTGACAAAAAGTGTATCCCTGCAGAATGTGTCCTCTAGCTGGCAGTCAGGACCAACATACTGGATGATTCCACTTCACGGCTTTATCCCACACTACTCTCCCTAAATGTCAGAGTACTGTACATCTTTGGACAATTGATCGCTCACTGTTTGTTTCCTTGACAGAAAGTGTTCCTCAGTTTGAATGCGACTGGCTCCTGTGTGTCACTAAAGGAACAGCATCTTACCTGAGCCTTGCTGTAGTTGTATTACCTGAGCCTTGCTGTAGTTGTATTACCTGAGCCTTGCTGTAGTTGTATTACCTGAGCCTTGCTGTAGTTGTATTACCTGAGCCTTGCTGTAGTTGTATTACCTGAGCCTTGCTGTAGTTGTATTACCTGAGCCTTGCTGTAGTTGTATTACCTGAGCCTTGCTGTAGTTGTATTACCTGAGCCTTGCTGTAGTTGTATTACCTGAGCCTTGCTGTAGTTGTATTACCTGACCCTGCTGTAGTTGTATTACCTGAGCCTTGCTGTAGTTGTATTACCTGAGCCTTGCTGTAGTTGTATTACCTGAGCCCTGCTGTAGTTGTATTACCTGAGCCTTGCTGTAGTTGTATTTGTCGGGGTGATCAGCCATGTACTTTCTAAACATGTTTCTAGTGTCCTTGTCAGGAGCAACGATGTAAGGAGTCTGGCCTTTCTTGTCTCTGTGGACACAAAAACAGCATCAACACCATTAACGTTTCCTCTCTTTTTATAACATATAAACAATACAGTTTTATTGAGCTTGTTATAATAATACATTCAATTTACAACGTGCTTTTCATTGAAAGACAATCACACAAAAAATTACAAATAAATACACACATACACTACCAGTCAAAAGTTTGGACACACCTACTCATTCAATGGGTTTTCTTTATTTTTACTATTTTCTACATTGTAGAATAATAGTGAAGACATCAAAACTATTAAATAACACATATGGAATCATGTAGTAACCAAAAAAGTGTTAAACAAATCAAAACATATTTTATATTAGAGATTCTTGAAATAGCCACTCTTTGCCTTGATGACAGCTTTGCACACTCTTGGCATTCTCTCAACCAACTTCATGAGGTTGTCACCTGGAATGCATTTCAATTAACAGGTGTGCCTTCTTAAAAGTTAATTTGTGGAATTTATTTCCTTCTTAATGCGTCTGAGCCAATCAGTTGTGTTGTGACAAGGTAGGGGGGGTATACAGAAGACACAGTGGCTTGCGAAAGTATTCACCCCCCTTGGCATTTTTCTCATTTTGTTGCCTTACAACCTGGAATTAAAATGGATTTTTTGGGGGGTTTGTATCATTTGATTTACACAACATGCCTACCACTTGGAAGATGCAAAATATTTTTTATTGTGAAACAAAGTCAATACTATGTAGAGCCACCTTTTGCAGCAATTACAGCTGCAAGTCTCTAGGGGTATGTTTCTATAAGCTTGGCACATCTAGCCACTGGGATTTTTGCCAATTTTTCAAGCAAAACTGCTCCAGCTCCTTCAAATTGGATGGGTTCCGCTGGTGTAAAGCAATCTTTAAGTCATACCACAGATTCTCAATTGGATTGAGGTCTGGGCTTTGACTAGGCCATTCCAAGACATTTAAATGTTTCCCCTTAAACCACTCAAGTGTTGCTTTAGCAGTATGCTTAGGGTCATTGTCCTGCTGGAAGGTGAACCTCCGTCCCAGTCTCAAATCTCTGGAAGACTGAAACAGATTTCCCTCAAGAATTTCCCTGTATTTTAGCACCATCCATCATTCCTTCAATTCTGACTAGTTTCCCAGTCCCTGCCGATGAAAAACATCACCACAGCATGATGCTGCCACCACCATGCTTCACTGTGGGGATGGTGTTCTCGGGGTGATGAGAGGTGTTGGGTTTGCGCCAGACATAGCGTTTTCCTTGATGGCCAAAAAGCTCAGTTTTAGTCTCATCTGACCAGAGTACCTTCTTCCATATGTTTGGGGAGTCTCCCACATGCCTTTTGGCGAACACCAAACGTGTTTGCTTATTTTTTTCTTTAAGCAATGGCTTTTCTGGCCACTCTTCCGTAAAGCCCAGCTCTGTGGAGTGTACGGCTTAAAGTGGTCCTATGGACAGATACTCCAATCTCCGCTGTGGAGCTTTGCAGCTCCTTCAGGGTTACCTTTGGTCTCTTTGATGCCTCTCTGATTAATGCCCTCCTTGCCTGGTCCGTGAGTTTTGGTGGGCGGCCCTCTCTTGGCAGGTTTGTTGTGGTGCAATATTCTTTCCCATTTTTTAATAATGGATTTTAAATGGTGCTCTGTGGGATGTTCAACGTTTCGGATATTTTTTTTATAACCCAACCCTGATCTGTACTCCTCCACAACTTTGTCCCTGACCTGTTTGGAGAGCTCCTTGGTCTTCATGGTGCCGCTTGCTTGATGATGCCCCTTGCTTATGGGTGTTGCAGACTCTGGGGCCTTTCAGAACAGGTGTGTATATATACTGAGATCATGTGACAGATCATGTGACACTTAAATAAAGTCCACCTGTGTGCAATCTAACTAATTATGTGACTTCTGAAGGTAATTGGTTGCACTAGATCTTATTTAGGGGCTTCATAGCAAAGGGGGTGAATACATATGCACGCACCACTTTTCCGTTATTTTTTTAAAAGTAATTTTTTTCATTTCACATACACAAAATAGTGTATGTCCATTACATGAAATCCAAATAAAAATCCATTTAAATTACAGGTTGTAATGCAACAAAATAGGAAAAACGCCAAGGGGGATGAATACTTTTGCAAGGCACTGATAGCCCTGTTTGGTAAAAGACCAAGTCCATATTATGTCAAGAACAGTTCAAATAAGCAAAGAGAAACGACAGTCCATCATTACTTTAAGACATGAAGGTCAGTCAATCCGGAAAATTTCAAGAACTTTGAAAGTTTCGTCAAGTGCAGTCGCAAAAATCATCAAGCGCTATGATGAAACTGGCTCTCATGAGGACCGCCACAGGAATGGAAGACCCAGAGTTACCTCTGCTGCAGAGGATAAGTTCATTAGAGTTACCAGCCTCAGAAATTACAGCCCAAATAAATGCTTCAGAGTTCAAGTAACAGACACATCTCAACATCAACTGTTCAGAGGAGACTGTGTAAATCAGGCCTTCATAGTCGAATTGCTGCAAAGAAACCACTACTAAAGGACACCAATAAGAAGAGACTTGCTTGGGCCAAGAAACATGAGCAATGGACATTAGACCGGTGGAAATCTGTCCTTTGGTTTGATGAGTCTAAATTTGAGATTTTTGGTTCCAACCACTGTGTCTTTGTGAGACGCAGAGTAGGTGAACGGATGATCTCTGCATGTGTGGTTCCCACCGTGAAGCATGGAGGAGGAGGTGTGATGGTGCTTTGCTGGTTACATGGTCTGTGATTGATTTAGAATTCAAGGCACACTTAACCAGCATGGCTACCACAGCATTCTGCAGCGATACGCCATCCCATCTGGTTTGGGCTTAGTGGGACTATCATTTGTTTTTCAACAGGACAATGACCCAACACACCTTCAGGCTGTGTAAGGGCTATTTTACCAAGGAGGAGAGTGATGGACTGCTGCATCAGATGACCTGGCCGCCACAATCCCCAGACCTCAACCCAATTGAGATGGTTTGGGATGAGTCGGACCGCAGAGTGAATGAAAAGCAGCCAACAAGTGCTCAGCACATGTGGGAACTCCTTCAAGACTGTTGGAAAAGCCATTGAAGAGGAGTGGGACAACATTCCACAGGCCACAATGAACAGCCTGATCCATGCCCCTTGTTCTGTGTGTGTTTATATATATATATATATATATATATATATATATATATATATATATATATATATATATAAACTCAGCAAAAAAAGAAATGTCCCC